CAGTGGGAAAACCGCGAACGAACTCCAGAAGAATTTGCCAATTTATTCCGGCTAGTTTTGCGGTTCACCGCTATAAAGGTTAAAGAGAATAAGAGGAAAACATTGAAGGGGCACGAATAGAGCAAAAAGGCTTTGATGACATCGCCAAAATTCCAACATCGGGTGCCCTCTCAGATGTTTTTACGACGCAACAGTGCTACAAAGCGAACATCGAACACGGAAGAAGAAAGCGGAAACGAGAGATAGGAAAATAGAATGCGTAAGAGAAAGGCAGTTGTATGATTTGAAGTGTGGAAGAAAGAAAGAGAAGCGGACTTATTTAAAATATCAAGCTTCGAGTGAGGGGAGTAAGCATTCGAGCAAGTTAGGGCCTAAGCTGTAAAAGTTTGTTAATATAGTTTGAAATTATCATGAGCTTTTGTATTTTGGCGTGTAACAAAATTTAACAGGAAAATGAGCTTTTCGACGAGATTTCACGTCAAGGCTTTGGATATACGTTGAATCAAATTGAGGCAAATGTTCTAATTTTCATAGCTTGACATATGGGCTGAAAGATATTAATAATCAATTAAATCCATTTAATTAGAATGGGTGTAATCGAATCGGCATCATTATTATCGATTCGTTACATAAAATAATAATCAATTCACATTACTCATTATTTATCCTATAAACTTGTATAAACAATGTAATGCTGATATTTAAAATAAGATACACATATTTTTTTAATTACATTATTTGTGATATAATGTCATAAAGAAGAATGGAAATATAAGAATGAATGGGTTAATTGATACAATGATGCTAGTGATGTAATAATTAATTTAAAAAATAATTATAAGTAAAGGACAACATATTTGTGAAATTGTACTTGTCTTTGATTCTATATGGAATTTAGGACGCTAAAGTGCGTATTTATATAGAGAAAGCGCGTTATTCGCTTAACAGTTGAGCAACCTAAAAAGATATCCAGTATTTAATAATTAAACAAATCACTGAATTTTGTAAAAGAAATGTAAATATAAATATATGATTAAATTTTTATATTTTTAAAGTATGTAAATACTAATGCGATAAATTGATAATTCCGTTATTAGCATAATATCATCACTAATTTCGAATTATTTTGTTGTAATTAAATTATAACATAAGATAAACAATTAAATCTCTACGTACTCATAATGTCAATTAATATTGCTTATTTTTAAATATATTAAATTTATTTATATATTTTATCATTATTTATTTTTTATTATTTTCTTAAGCTTTCTTCAAAGAGATTGCAAAATAGAATGATCATTTATGTTAAATTAAAACTTTAATCGAATGATCTAATCGTTAATTTATAGAACTTTAGCTGCAAAATATTACAAGTCGTATTTCGTATATTTTAAGCATAAATTTATTTACTACGATGCTTAACTGAAAAACCAATATAATTAGCCATTAATCATTGATATACGAAATTTGCATTAATACAAAAGGTACATTACGTTTTATTGAGCCAGAATTAAATTAACCGTGATCTAATTATATATAATAGGATGTGATTTACATGCTATAAAGCTATAAGTGTTAAAAAAAAAAAAATATATTATTTTTTCATATGTACAATTAGTTTTCTTTTTTCCATCTAAATAGATTTTATTGAACTATCGTAATTCTACATTAGGAATTGCTAATGTTTAATCTAATTAAAATCTTCAAACTCATTGGAATATTGATGAATATAAAATCAGATGAAAAAGCAGCAAAATGTTAAAAGCGATGAACATATAATGGTATGTAGAGGTACGAAACCCCGTTGTACCTATAATCACAGAACTAAAAAGCTCGTTACACATGGAAAGTTGTATGAGAGGACCAAAGAAAATTTGCCTCGGTAAGGTTGTAAATCCCGTCGACGTATGCCGATGATGACACGCAAGTTTATTTTCCAGAAGGGATTTTCCGAGCTGTCGCATACTTACAAGCACCAGCTAAACGCCAACAATAAGGGCAAAGACCCAGCCACACTATGAGTAAAGTTTATGTGGTTTCAATATGTCCTCGTAACTCTGGACAATATTACAAGGACGTTAATATCTTCTTGCGGTCGAAACTTAGCAGTCGACTAGAGCCAAATCTACTAGGACGATGCTGAAAGTTCCTTTGATCCACGAATTAAGGATGTCCTGTGCGACCTGTGCCAAGTCCTTGGCTTTCCTTCCGACCGCTAGACTTTATTGTTTTGCACTTGTATGTGCGAGCAAAAAGGCAAAAGCACCTGATGTTCTAATGGCTTACACTAATCCGTTACTTTTCTCTCGTAAACACTCAACCTATTGTCATTTCTATCGATTAAAACAACTTGTAGGATGAGTAACGATTTTTAACGATTTTTGTTCACCAACGACCAGAAATTACACATTAAATTTGTTTTGAAACACTGTAATGTATATTCTATGATGTGATGTATTTCATCAGTCTGATGTAGAAATTTAAAAAAAAAAATCTACTTTTCACCTGTGCTGATTATACATTATAAGAAGCGCGTATTAAAATGAGCATTGAAATTAGGAAATTCGTTGCCTTTTTTCAAAATTAACTGAATAAAACCGTCTAATTGTAGATAATAATAATATTCATAGAATTCAAACAGTGCATTAACTAAAATTAAAAAAAAAAATCGATAAATACTTTTAATTGATATAATCGGTCTATCTGGCCATACATTATAAATTTACGATAACATTGTTATAAATTAATATATTGATATCACTATTTAGAACATACCACATTCCTAGATAATTCATCAATTAGCTCTCATATTTAAAGGAAATAGTTCTTTTAAGTTTTTGATAATTTAAATAATGTATTTATATCACTTCAAATTCCATACAACATTTAATCTACATCAATTTAATTTATTTAATATTTATAATTTTGAGAATCGAAAGAAAAAAAAATAGCAACACTGAAATGTATAAATACATTATTAATTCAATATACTTGAATTAATTATATTTATTATATTTTCAATAGGCTCACTCGCATGACAATATTACCTACAATTTTTATTAATTTAAATATTTTACTCTCGTTTGGTTAAGAATATGAGAACATATATATATATATATATATATATATATACGTATTAATATTTTTCATAAGTAATCTGATATAAATTGATCGGATAAAAATATTTTGAAAAATAATCTTTATTTAACTCTGCATAGAAATAATATTTCAGGGATAAAAAATTGTATTATTGTCTCGTTTTAGAAGAGATACAGTTAATATTTTATAGTGCCAACGGTTTTATTAGATTTCGATCTTATATTATTAATTATATTATTCATTAATTATTAATTATTAAGAATTAATGTTACTTGATAGCATAATTTGTTGAAGCACAATAGAACAATATAAGTTCACTTAAATTTTATTATATTTAAATTCCGACATTCTATCAATGGTTTTATTGTGCCAATAATTTATTTTGCCATAGTAGCATAATCTAGCGCGAATTGCAAGCTCGTAGCGAGTAAAATAATTAACCAACCAAACAATATGAAAAAAAGTAAGAAAGTGAAGGCATGTTCGAAAGGTCGATCCCGTAGCAAAATCTCAAGTTCCGGAAGCCGAGGGAGGCAGAGCGAGGAGAGGATGAAACTAATTCGATTGTAAACTCGGTTCAACGGAGGGGCGGGTATGGAGGAGAAGTCCAGCAGATAGAGAGGACAAACACCCCCGCAGGCCACTCGGACACAGATGGCAGTAACCGCGGTTAAATTCTCAAACCGTAACTCTAATTACTCATAGACAAACCCAAATCCCGAAGCGGCCGCGTCAGCTGCCGTTGAAACTTCCAAAAGCAATGGCCGCGATTTTTTCTTTAGTTTTGTTGGCTCGCTGTGGTTCCCCTATACTCCTTGTTTTTACTTTTACGTCATTTGCCAAGACGCGATGATGCTAACCATATCCTATGAGGATTAAACCGACGAATTCAGCTGAGTTTTAGTGAATAGAGGACCTCCGAAGCGCTTATGAATTCAAATCTGGTAATGGAGCCGCCGTTATGGACGTCTAGAGTAGCATATGGTGTAATATCGAAACTAAATTTGCTTTGATTAATGGCGTTCCGTGAGATTTAGATGAAAATTATTGTAATGCTATATGAATGGAGTAAAAATCTTCGGGTATAACTGTTTTTGGTTTTCCGCTAATCGATCCGTTAATAATTGCTTCGATCGGAATGTTTTGGTGAAAATATACGGGAAAAGTTTCGCATATATATGTCAAATAAATTATGTTCGATTATAAATTAAATATTCCTTCTACTGGCTTTTATTCAATTTTTTTTTTTTTTTTTACTTTTTAAATATAGAATATGATAATCAATTACGAATGACTGACGTTATAAATTGATCAATTTCCTTTCGTATTTTCAATTAATTACAACGTAAAATTTCATCTTTTACAAACGAGAGAATCAATATTTTAAAAATTTCAAGAGTTGATAATTTAGCTGCTCCATTTTCACTTGGAAACTTCTTATATGCATATTTTAAAGTATTATTATTATTTCACTGCCTTGACAAACTTGATTATTTATCACTTCGACTTAGGAACACTGACACTCTTCCTATTTCGTACAAACTGTATCCAAGACACTTAGATATACCTAACTTCTTCTAAGTTCAATTTAATACTATCTCCCGTCGACAACTTACTGCATTTGAAGCTCCTTTACTTTTGAGCTTCGCTGCATATTACAAATGAAATAGTCCAAGAAATGATTAAGCGTAGGCTAAAATAATTGCCTCGTTTCATCATTATAATTTATTCTGGTTTACGAAGCATTGTGCTCCATTTTGTACAATATTCATGAAAAAAAATTTTTATAATATTTGAATTACGATTAAATTGTTATATTTAAGGAGATATTACTTTTCAACTGTTCTAGGCTAAAGAGGTCCCAGAATAAAATGACTATGGACGTAAGCAAGACGGAACCTAGCAGAACGCAGGCTGTAGAAAACCAATAACTGAAAGGTGAAAATATGTACATCTTATCGACTTATTAATTGTTCCTTCAAGTGTAAATTACAAATTGGCATTGAATTATCTAAGTATTAAAGTATTAAAATTTCGGCATTGATACGCAAGCTTTACAAATACATAAATTTAATGGAACGTTACATTTATATGTTATAGATATTTATTAAGGGCTTTGGATATGTTTTGGCACGAAGATTGTCTGAAGTGCGGCTGTTGTGATTGCAGACTCGGTGAAGTCGGATCAACCTGCTACACAAAAGCCAATCTTATACTCTGCAAACGCGATTATTTGCGGTAAGATTTTCTTATTGTAATGCACGTTGTTTGCTCTGATATTCTTTAAAGCAGGCTTTTACATATTATAATTCACGGTACTTTCATCCATAAAGAAATCGTTCGATTACATCATTGTTTAGAGATTGAGATTAACAGGCTCAAAAGATTTTATTTTTATTTTTATTTATGCCTATAATTTTTTAATGTAATGTAAATGTATAAATATAATTTACGGGAACTTTGATATATTTGATAGATGGTTTTGCCAGGTAGACGAGATCATTCCACGATTCTTATAGAATTCGTATTATCTATTGTTTCTTATTATTTATATGCATTGGTAAAGACAGACTAATGAATTATCGTAATGAGTTCAATATGATGTGCCAGTGATTTACTAATTACGTATTTGAATAACTTTCTTCGCTTAAAAAAATTAAAAACAAAAAAAAAACAAAACAAAAAAAACAAGATATAAACAGTCCTTTGACAAATTTATGTCTAACCACACAGTCATTCGAATGAAAAAATACATTCGGATCTTCGCTTCCCAGTTCCAACCATTAAAATCCCAACGGCATGCTCTGTAGTTTATTCATTCGGTACAAAAGGCAAGTAAAAATCCTTCTGGCTAGCTATAGATTTTGAATGGCCTTATTTTATTGAAATATTTGTAAAATTGACGCGGGTATTAATAACGCTTATGGATTCGGGATACGGCCCACGGTAATTGGGCCGATGGACCGACGCTCAACGAATTATTGTTAAACGCGTGCTCACTCGCTCGCAACGTAACCCAACGAAATACAATCCCTGTCAACACTATGTGTATCCAGTTTAAAAATTGTGACGGCCCATCCGTGCGCACTAGGTGCTCCATGAATTTTACGGCGTCGTTTCCACGAGCTTATTGGAAATATTCAAAATCGCGCTCTGCCCGTCAATAAACTTTTCGTAAAACGCAGTGTCTGGTTGAATGAAGAGGGATATGAAAAGGGCGAGAGAGAGAGAGAGAGAGAGAGAGAGAGAGAGAGAGAGAGAGAAACCAACACGGTAATATCGTTCTCAAATATTGAGCCATTAATAAAGCACTTAGTTTCAAAAGAGAGAGAGAGAGAGAGAGAGAGAGAGAGAGAGAGAGAAAAACCAACACGGTAATATCGTTCTCAAATATTGAGCCATTAATAAAGCACTTAGTTTCAATGCACCGCACTGCTACGTGAGCGGCACCTGCGCGTGTTCCCGGGGGAGGCAATCCCCCTTTTTCGCTCCCTCCTCCTAACCCTCACAACGTCATCGGAACGTAATCTCGACGTGGCTTATTTATCCGGGAGTTTGTTTGCTCTCGCACCATAAACTTGTCGCGGAACGGGGGCGGATGGTGTCTCCACGGTATTCAATAAGAGAAACTCATCTGTAAAATTCGATTTATCAGTCGCCTTGTACCATCGAATATACGCACCTGCGGGGATAATCAGAACCGCAGGAACCGTAAGCTCTTTCTTATGTTTTTAATTTATCGTTGCTCTATTTTATTTTGCCAAATTATATTGAAAATGTTTGATTTAACATATAACAGCCAACAGATTTAGTAATTGTACACATATTTGGTATTTGTTTAAGACTCCTTTGGATAAATGTTGAAAAATTATGAATAATAATGTTTTCAATAGGATATTATTGAAATTCTATACGAATCTTGTGTAAAAATATAATAATATAAAACAATTAGTTCGTCGTCGCATTACAATAAATAATTTTGAAAAAGGAAATAATATTTTTTTTTTATACTTTTAGAACGAAAATTCTGCAAATAAATTATGTTCTAATTATTAAAATATTATGTATGAAGAATACAAGTCTGTCGCAAATAAGAGATACTGCTAAAAATATATTTTACATAAATTTTTACATAATAACAATTTTCTTATATCAATGTATTTAATGAGCTTAAGGTCTTGGAATTTCATAAATTATCCTGAAATTAGTTATTGAAAAATAACAGGCTATATACATATATATATATATATATATATATATACATGTATATACGTGTGTGTGTGTGTGCCATATATTTGTAAAATCCGATTAATAAACTTAACTTAAAATTTCTTTAAAAGCACAGAAAAATATTTTATATAAAGCTATTTTTTAAGATTCATCGTACCTTTTTTTGAAAAAGCTTTGCATCTCGTAGTGAATATCATCACCCATTATATTACACATATTTGTTTAATAATAAAGTTTGATTTTTTAGAAAATTCTAGATGGTTATTCTTACTTATGAGAAACTTCATATAAGCTATTTAAGAATCTAAATAATACCTAATAAGGACAGTATTTAGCTAATTATTGTCAAGAAAATTCAATTTTAAACATACTATCGAGATTTAATGCTTGAATTTACTTTAATTTCCACTGATGATTTAAATTTTTAGTACTTTATACTTATTTAATAAAAAATATTGAAAGATATTACCTCATATGGATCATAAACATTTCACATTAATATCAAGATTTTCTCAATTTATTGTATATTTATTAGGAAGAAGGTTATCAAATTCACATCATAGATATTTATATAAAAACTAATCGTACTGCATTTCATATAGTTTACCAAAAGATTAATTATGAATATCAAATTTTATAAATTAATATAGCAGAGTATTGTTCAATACTGAAATATATCAATCTTTATAAAGTGTTTGAAATTATCATCACATTTGAGTTTAAAATATATGATTTTTATACCAAATGAATTTTACGTCAAAATGCATTCAAAGACTTTGAAATCCCACTCTCTCTCTCTCTCTCTCTCTCTCTCTCTCTCGCTCTCTCTTTATATTCTTCCACTCTATCGCTCTAACTTACTCTGTTGCTCTATTTCTCCCTCCATCTCTTTCATCCTCTCCACCACTCTCTTCCCCCCGAATATACTTTCTCTCTTTCTCACTTTTTACCTTTTTTTACCAGCTCGTGTATTTATTTTACGAACTAATAACATTATTTTTAATATAATTATAATTACCTATAAGTAATATTTGTGCATGTGTGTGTGTTCGTGCATGCGCGTGTGCGTGCGCGTGTGCGTGTGCGCGTGTATATTTATGGTGATGCGCGCGTGTTCAATGCACTGCAATTGTTTAAATTTCCTAAAAACCATCAACAATTATTCATGTATTTCATACAGAAATTTATCCATTGTTTTCAATAGTTATTATATTAATAATATAACGATAAGTATGTTCAGTAAGAAAAAGAAATTTTCAGATTATTCGGAAATACGGGCCATTGCGCCGCATGCAGCAAGATCATTCCGGCATTCGAAATGGTCATGCGTGCAAGAGCGAACGTTTATCATTTGGAATGTTTTGCGTGTCAGCAGTGCAATCACAGGTAATTCCCGACATATTTAATCACTACCGTTTTATATCCTAGTGTCTGAATATAGCACCACCTTAATTGCAAAACATAAGTTACTTTTATTTGCGATAACAGTAAATAAATAACTACGCAAGTAAATAATAAATGCGCGATAAATGTAATGGATAGCGAATAATTTCAATAAATAAATAATTAATTAATTAATTAATTCATTCATTCATTCATTCATTCATTCATTCATTCATTAAATAGCTTAACGAGAGTATTTATAACAATAAATCTAGATTTATGATTAACTAAACTCGATACCTAAGAATAGAATTTTCATATTTAATGCATAGATTTTTATATGATTTTTCATGATAATAGTTGTGCAACTGCTTTTAGTTAGCATTACGTCGAAAAAGTTTAATTTAACATTGCCATTGCGAATATTTCATTCGAAAAGTAACTGGTTTTCTCTGAGCAATGCTTTTAACAAGAATATACTTCAATGGAGAAGTCCAGCTTTGTGCCAAATATTCCAAAGACTATTCGATGGACTTACATTTCAATGGACTTATGCTTTAACAATTTTATTAATAAAATTCGAGTTATAAGAAGAAAGTTCATCTGTATCTTAAATCTCTAAGCTAAATTCTTAGAATATAAAAGTCATAGCATTAACATGATTTTATTATATATAGAAATTGTTAAATCATTTAATACAGCTTTGGACTTTCTAGGAAAATGCGAGATTCCAGAATAAACGTAGGTAAACTTGTAGAGGATCTTGATGTGTTTATCCGCGTTACCGAGACGATTTTATTTGAATTCATGGAGTCGCGTAAGTCTCGATGTTCTCTTACAGTCAAACAAGTTCCATTGTCTCTCACTCTATCCTCTAGCACTAAAAGCACGAATTGTATGCACGAGAGGATAAAATGCACGATTTTTTTTTTTTCATGAAATTTCAATTAAATATTATTTGAATAGTGTAGAGTGTTGATTATATCATTGACCAGTGTGAATCGAATATTCATCACTCATTAGGATTATGGAGACTTTCAAGAGTGAATACTGAATAGTGGGATAATGATTTACTCGTTGTTATTACAAAGTAACTTACCTTTATTGATACGAAAGTGATTGAGGAAGAGAATTACGTGTAGTCGTACGAAACAAGTGTTTGTAAATAAATTTTTATAGATTATTGATAATTAAACTGAAAGGGTATATTTCGATGGATAAACGACCGTTTATCGGAATTTAGATGGAATATTTAGGAAGATGAGCTATTTAATAATAATATTATTCAAAATAATTACGAAAAGGATTTTATTATGATTCTTTCGTCACTACAAACTTAACAAATAATAAAAAAAATTTTAAATACAAATTTTTGTAACTTTTATTTTCAATTACTCTCATCATACATATACTTTATTATTATTACGTTACTACATTAAACAAAATATTACAAACCAGTAGGATTATTTAACTGAAATTTAATGTATCAAGAGCATGAATGAGAAAGTAATTTTTTTTATACTATATTATATTTATTATTATTTTGAAAGAACTTTTATTCAGCGTAAAAATCCAAAGTACTAAGAATATCAACATATTTTAAATGAAAAATTTATTAATAGAAACATAGATCGTGTATATTCATTTCATAATTACTAGCAGGAAGGGCAAAAAATAATTATACATAATTATTGTGCGATCGGGGCAATTAAATTATCTTTATGTGAATTTTATGTTCCATTTGCTTGACGACTACGTGTCTACGCAGTTAACGCCCACGAAACAATAATTTAAGCAATAGTGTGAATCGATTTAACACTCGGCTCCGTTTTACGCGTCTTATCAGTAAAATTGATCGTCCTGTGAATGCGGCATTGCCGTAATACGTAGCGAACAGCCGGCAAAGCCATCGCGATCAAACGGCAACATTCGTCAAAAATCCAAGAAAGACAATTCACAACGTTGCTTTCGCACATTATTGCCCTCGCTTTTGCAGCTCCGAGCACTGAGCAATAATCAAGCGAGAAAAGCTCGGAAGCGAACAAGTGCGCGTTTACTCGGCAACCCTCGGGGGTCTTGTAACTAAATTGGCGGCAGTATATAACCGCTCGGACCTCGCATTTAATTTGAATATAATCGCGGCGACGAATCTCGAAGCTTCCCCGAGCTGCGTGACGTCGGGTAGGAAGTCGCTTTCGAGACACGCCGGAAGCAAAATGGCCGTGAGACGTCGCCTCGGTGATCCCCAAGGTAACAGCCACAGCGGAGGACAATCCAACGAGTCCTGTCCCGAAGGAGACGGATACTTCTTGCGAGATGAGAGAGACACGTGTGAACGTCCCCGCTTACCAATTGTCTCGCAATGAGATTTCGCTTTTCGGATATTCAGATGCTCGAGTTTTTTTTTTTTTTTTTTTCATTTATTTACATCTCGAGGGATGATGATAACTGAAGCAAATATTGAGCGGCGCTTGAAAATACTATCTCAAGCGCTAAACGCTAAATTTCAAATCAATATCGACAACTCCAAGGAATTTGTAAATCTCAAATGACAAGCCGTAATTCATATTTCACAATACTTATTTTACAATAATATTTATATAAATATGCTCGAATTAACTTAACGAAAATATTAGAATATCTCTTTTATTGGCGGATGAAAAATTATCTATTTAATGAGAAAATTTTTTGTAAAATATTACCCCAAAAGCATTAATTCTAGTAGGTTCGTATATTTTATTTGATTTTTAAAGTTTTTTTACTCATTATTTTAACTGGGGCATGAACAGGTGTGCTTTTCCAGTAAATCTATACATTTTCCTCATTTCTTAAAATTTGAACAAACATTTTTTCATTTATTATCAATTAAATTTAATATTTCTTTTCTCTCGATAGCCTATAATATCGGCATAATATATAAAATCTTTTTTCTCTCAAAATGGAACAATCTACCAATACTTATTTTATACGAGTATTTCGCGGACAATTGTAACAAGAAGGTTGCAAAAGATTCATTACTTAAGTTTCTAATCTAATGACTTTAATAATTCACTTGTCACTAATTTCAAAACTAATTGTAATCTATTTCTATAACGTGTTAAATACTGTTTATCGTATCGTTTTATACTGTTATGATATTCTAAATATATAGCCGCTATTTACTGACAATAAGATATAATAATTTACAATGACTAAAGCTCGAAGTCAATTTATAACTCTCAGATATTGGCTGATTATAATCAGATTAAATGCCAATCGCAGCCTTAAAAATTTCATATCTAAATAATGAAAATAATTCAATGTAAAAAAATGTATACTAAGAATAGTAAACAATTTGCATTAACTTACAATTACTCAATGTAATTCTAAAACTTTTAACGTGGCAAGTAAAATTATTAATTCCACAATGAAATGCAAGCAATTTCCTTATTGAATCAGTCAAGTTTATTTAATGAAGGGATTTAGCCGTTATTTCACAATGATTGAGTAGATGCAGTCTGAGATCAGTAAGCCGCCTTGACTTATGATCTACTTGGCTTCGCGAAACCTTTTGTTTAGCAAAATCCCTGGCGTATTCTCTTCATTTTGTATTCAACAATGACCCTAAACTTCCCGGCATTGTTTCCCATTATGACAAATACAATGCCGAGACCTCGTCGTAAGAAAATAAATACTTACGATGGCGAAGGATTTTGACACTATAGTTGATACATTTTTCGCAAAACAATGTTAAGATTTAGCTTTGAGTATAACTCAGTAGCGCTTATTAGTAGTAACGGATTAAAGTGCGGTTAAAAGGTGAAATTAATTATAAATTCAAATGTTAATTGTTCGTAATATTTGATAAGATTTATTATTTGACGTTTAGAATATTTTGATTAATATACTCCAAGTTAAAGTGAAGTCGACGTAAGTAATAATTTTTTGACTATGTAATAGAAATTGTCCTCGTCGAGGGTAGGACTCGATTCAATGAATTATCGAAACTCGACATAGTGATGTTTAAAAATTTCATTGCAATATTAAGCGGTTTCAAGGTTGAGTAATATTAATAAAACTTCCGTAAAGGCTTATAAATGTCGTCATAAATTAAAAAAAATACTGACTACATATAATCATCAGAGTTTATCCATTCAATTAGTGGATCAATAAGCGAGAGAACAATTTTATAAAGTTAAGATTTCGATCATTCGAGCTTTCGAGAGCTTTAAAAAAGTTAAGAAATCCGAAGCTACGATCAAACGAAGCAGGTGCTATATGCGCGCGTATCCCGTTGGGATCGCGTGACCCAGCGGGCCACATCCGTTTCCGGCCTTACCTCAACTGGTCAACCACTCCAGTGACAACGAAGGAAAAACAGAAAAGGAATAAGAATAACAAATAGACGAAGCTCGGCAGAGACCGTAGATTATATATACATATATGGCCATCCGTTTGTAAAAGCCCGTGCATGTCGCATAAATGCTCCTGTTGACCGTTACGAGGCTAAAGAACCAATGACTTTACGTGCATTTTTAACTTCGTTTTTACGAGCGGAATTGTGGAATCCCCTTCTCGTCCGTATTAACGCTGATGTCGGTAGCTTGATACTTAAAATTAATACTTTGTTTTCATGCGGCAAGGTGAAGAGAAAGCCCTGCGTAAGTAAGAAGACAATTCCATCTTTTGCTCATCCATCATACCATATACAATGTATATCCTATAAAAACAAAAAACACAAAAAAAAAACACAAAAAAAAACACAAAAGAAAATATAAATAAAATAATAATAATAGTAACAATAACAATAACAACTTATTATTTACCGCGCCACAATAAAGTTTGATCAATTTATAAAATTTGGTAAAACTCATACTCGTGTATAATAAATATATTATTCAAGACTCGTATATAATATATTGTACATTTCAATCAAATTTAAAAATTCTTTTGTTTTTATAGTAGAAATATATGTACTCGGAAATAAATAAAATTTATATTTGAAATTAAGTAATTGC